TTGTCGGCCAGTTGGTGCACCTCGAGGAAAAGGATATCGCTCCATCATACACGGATATGGAGCTCTGGAAGGTATTAACGAGATTAAGGCAACTTGGCTTCTGTGGATGGAATGGGCGCGTGTCTCTGCCAACGACACCACGATGTACCCCACTGACCCTCATTGTCCGCCCTTTAATATATACATTATACATACCTATATGTATACCCCATTCACTCGAGTTACCGACAAATTAGCAACTCAAGGAAGTACATGGCTATATACATGACTTTTATCTGCCACTGGGTTCACGGATACACCAACCCCCTCAGGACAAGACTTTCCACATGAAATTCCAACAGTAACTACCACTACTCGGTGCAACAGGTACTTGAGGGACATCCGGTGTTACTTCCGGTTCCTAAGGATCCATTTCCTGTTTTGTACTGGAAAGTTTGTGATTGTAATTTTGAGGTGGCAGTAGGTGAGTGGACCTCAGTATTCTGCAACTTCCCTAAAACTCTAGTGATAAAAGAAAGTTTGGATATACTTTGTTTTTTTTTTCTATCTCTCTCTCTCTCTGTAAAAAAGCAGCGAGGCATGATTGTCTCCCTGGGGGTGGAGGAAAGGGGTGTGGGTGGTATTTTTCTAAAGTAGGTCACGGCGTGGTATGCCGCATGGAAAACTATAAATCTCTTGTAATGCTCGGGCCATCGCCACGATAAACTTGACCTTGTCCCTTTTGTATATATATGTATTACGCCGTTCCGTTCATCCCAGTTATAGACTCTTACTTTTTTCCTCCTCAGTGTCCCCCTGTTTTTCTTTTATTTTTGTCTTCTCAACCTTGATACTCGTCTCAAACGCACACCTCAGCAACTTTCTGAACCATTTCAACTTATACTTGTGAGTGTATAATTCACGTGGTACAACTGTGCAACCACTTTCTCACGTCAACAGAGGGAGGGAAAGAGAGAAATATATATAAAAAAAAACCGAATGCAACTCGACAGCGTCATGGCTTGTGACGATTACCGAGGTTTTATGTCACTCGTGAATTACGACACTATAACGGCAAACGTAATACGCACGTGAGGAACGTCACAATCCCTCCCCTCCCCCTTCCACTCCCTCAATTCACTCAGTTCGGAATCTCGATCGATTTGTCTAGACGATAAACTTCATTCAGCCATCGTGGCGACTGGTGTCACCGTGCATGGGCCATATGTGAAAAAGATGCGGAACATACGATCAAATACTAGTGCTCTCATAAAAGGTCGATAACTTGTTTTTTTATGCATTTTTCATTGAGGACACGTCGACCGGGGTGAATGGTTCAACTCGACATCTCGCAAAAGCACAAAAAAATTAGAGCACACATGTATTAACTTCCCCAAAGTGTCATAGGTGAAATAACGATTTCGTGGATCAATAGTGAATTTTTTTTTTTCACTTTCACTTTCCCTTTTATCAACGTCTACCCGACCTCCTCGATTTTCATGTTTTCCTGATACTTTTTTGAAAATTTTGAATTTTTCAATTTCAGTGAATACCTCCTCGATTTTCATGTTCCCCTGATACTTTGTGAAAATTTTGAATTTTTCAATTTCAGTGAATACCTCCTCGATTTTCAGGCTCCCCTGATACTTTTTCAAAAATTTCGAATTTTCCAATTTCAGTGAATACTTCCTCGATTCTCATGCTCCCCTGATAGTTTTTCGAAAATTTCGAATTTTTCAATTTCAGTGAATACCTCCTCGATTCTCATGTTCCCCTGATACTTTGTGAAAATTTCGAATTTTCAAATTTCAGTGAATACCTCCTCGACTTTCATGTTCCCCTGATACTTTTTTGAAAATTTCGAATTTTCAAATTTCAATGAATACCTTCTCGATTTTCATGTTTCCCTGATACTTTTCTGCTGAAATCACTGAAATAGAAAAATTCAAAATTTTCAAAAAAGTATTAAGGGAACATGAAAATCGAGGAGGTATTCCCTGAATTTGAAAATTCAAAATTTTTGAAAAACTAGACTAAAAAAGCACATCGTGAAAATTCACTTTTCTCTAACCGTGATTGACCGTACCGCATGCATGATCTAACTAATTTAGCCGCGAATTGCGCAATTGCGCTTTGATACCCTAACTGTCATTAACTTATAAAATATTCATTGCTGAGTGGTGCGAAAGAGAGTAAGAAAAAAAATGATAAAACAAACTCAACCGTTACGTTAAACTTGAACATATCTATATCCCTCATTGGATACCGAGTGAATGAGGACGTAAAAAATCATCACTCACGTAGAGGCGTGAATGTGAACAGGTGCGTCATTGGAAGTTGAATATTTACATGAGAGGGAAAACTCATTTCCCTTTCAATGATCGATTGTATCCGATGAGTGCCGATCACTGATCATTCGGGTATGAAAGCACGTGTCCGCATACGATCGTACGCAGGATATCTTATCGGTTCAGAGCGCTATATACGCCTTTCTTGGCTTCAACTTTGTTGAGCTAGTATCTCTCTCTCTCCCATCGTGCTGCACATGTCCATAAATACATGGACGTAACACAAATTCAGAAGTGGGTAGAGGGTGAAGTGAATTTCCGCGTTCCTACGCGTTCTCCTCTCACACCTTGGGTCTCCCTTCCCCCTGGAACTTTATGTACAATGGTTCATGAATGAGAACCCGATGTGTTGAATGTTTATGCCTCAGCTGTCTCCCTTGGCTACCTCTCACTCACTCTCGGTGGGATTGTGTTGTGTCCGTGGGGTTAAACGGCTTCCACCACTGCGAGAGCTGGTCAATAGTTTCCCAATGTCGAGTCTCCTCTTTCGCTGGCCTACCCCCCCTCATCCCCCCCCACCCACTTTATCACTCTTTCCCTCGTACTTACACCCGACTATACGCCGTTACTCTATTTCACACGACATTACACGACTCAGCCCAACCATGTACCCGAGGCGTTTATATACGTCACCTCCTCGTCGTCAAAATCCTCCTCATCTCCCACCATCTAACCACCAAGCCCGCCAAATATGCCGACAATCTTGAATCCGTTGCTTCGCTATTTTCCCCTTGTCCTCCCATTAAACTTTCTCAATGGAGTGGCTTTACTACAGCTACCATTTAGGCCATTAGGCAATGGCCATCCAATACTCTTGTATTTAATGTGTGCGTGCTGGCCCCCCGGGTTAGAGTCAGCATCTCGTGGGATGAATGGCAGGATTGCTAATGGCCTCCTTCCCTCTTTGGTTTATTTAGGGTTGCACTGGGTCAGTGTGTCACCATCTTCAGTCTCTTCAATCCCTATCCATCCGATTTCGTCCTTTTTTTTTTCTCCCACGATGCGATTGTGTTAATGCAATTGTAGAGATTGAACAAGGGGTGGGGCGAGAGGGGGAGGGCACACAGAGTCTTCAATGCAGAATGGTATGCATGTAGCGCATTCCACTAGACGATAGGTTATTAGTCTGGTGTAGGTCTGGCACGAGAAGCGAGTATAATAGGCTAGGTGTGACATTGCCCCAGAGTCTGTGAGGAGGCTCGTGCCACAACGTGTCAAGGGGGGGACGAGTCAGTGAGTACATGAACGGATTCCTCAGTGTCATTGCCATTAGTCTATAGTCTCATGCTCAACTTTAAATAGCTTGGGTAAATATTTTCATCGTCTCTGGATTTTAAATACTCACACTAGCAGTACTCACTCAATCAATCAACTCAATCAGATTATCATAATTATTCGATATTTATAATTCTAATGGATATTCATAGTGTGGACAGGTGTTGTGTGTCGCGTGTCCCATACCGCGTGTCCCATACCGCGTGTCGCGTGTCGCCGAACCATTGTTCCCTCAATGGAATACCCCCCATCCCCCTTCCCACCTTTTACCCCTCCTTCTCTCCTCTTTCAACTTGAGCCCACAAGACACATGCACACAATCTTACAGTTTATCCATCCTTTATCCACTTTTGTCAGTGTAATGTATGACACTTGTGTGCAGGTGGACTAAATCTTTGCCGTCACGACGGAGAGCAGTGAAGTAGTGGGAGGGCCTATGAATTCTCTTGGGTTGAAAATCCTCATCCACCGGGATCTATCCCCTCTCGTTTGAGAGACAAAGATGAAGATTGTGTATACGTAAACCAATGATGGCTTTATCTCTCAATCTTGTAAATACACTACTGTCGATATGACGTATGTACTGTAAGAGACCAATCCCTCTGGGGGCTTAACTTTTATCCGCCCACGTGTTTACATGAATTTCTCCCTCTCTCTCTCTCTCTCTCTCTCTCTCTCTCTCTTCGTCTTTGTGAGCGAGGGGATCTCAAGTTGGAGAGATTTATTTTGAGTTTAATCTTAGAATTCACGAAAGAGAAAAGACGAATGAAAGTAAAATATGAGTCAGTGGAGCAGACTCGCCGGCAAAAGGAAAATGAATGTACTCCAGTCGTAATGTCCCTTTTTCATTGACTCAGACTGTGTACTTGCTCGGTGTATATACCTGGAGTTCGACGACAGACGAAGGACTTTTGGCACGTGCCCAAGCCACTGCACATATACGTATGCCCGCATTGCGGAAGCCCCTGTGCATCCTCACCAGTACTAAGTAGTGTGCAAGTGTCAAACGGATAAATAGCTTAATGCCAACACACCGAAGCGATAGGTGGTTGCAAAACGGATCGCCGCTGTCTTTGTTTTGCTCACAAAGCGTAAAGGACATTGAGAAAACAAGTGGTTTTACGTATACTTGGCTGACAATATATGGAGTTTTGTGTGTGCATTGGTGTGCATGTGTGTGTCTCGTAGCATTGGTCTGGGAAGCAACCACCAACTTGTCACTGGGTCTCTCCCTGGGGGTCAGGTTCACCGAAGCCATTCACACTGTAAACCGACTTGATGGTGTAAAGAAACTCGCGGTCCAATAAACCCAAATAAACCCCAATAGCCATTTCTTTGTTGGTCAAAAGTTGATGCTGCATCGATATTATCGTGATCATCCTGTTGTTTGTGTTTCAGACTGCTGAAGGATTCTCACTGCTGGACAAAACGAGCGTAATTATAACGGATGCAGACAGATTGACGTCCGGTGAGTTTTACCTTTCCACTAATTTGAAATTCGAGAATAGCGCAGAAGAGCGCACGTCAAGACAGACGACAGTGCATCACTTGTCTCACTTGCATCACTTTGCATCACTTGCATCACTTGCATCACTTGCATCACTTGCATCAGCTGAGTGGTAATCTCTCACTCTGTGGCTCTAAGATGCACCAGAGAGAAGGAGAAGCCATTCGTCTTCTCTTTCTATTCCCTCAACCTCTCTCATTCGTTTTTTCCGCGTTCTTCGGTCTCATACCCACGTGGCTTGCATTCCCCTCATACCACCCATCTTCTTTTCCCTTTTAAATCTATGTACCTCGTAAGAAGCTTTCATTCACACGTCCACACCAGCGTTCGCCATTCGTCCATTGACAAGTCTTTTATTCTCAATTTTCTCTTGCTTCCCTCTTGCGACCGCAATCAACTCCGCCTCAGCCACTTTTAGTCTGTTGAACTCGTGGCGGTGGGTGAGGGTGGGTTAGAGACCATTGAAACAGCACAAAAAGATTAGCTAATGGTTATTTTAACAATTCTGTCGTACACCGATCCTCGGCTTGTTGAAGACACAGCTAACCTTGTTTCAACACTGGGTCAAGTTCAAATGCTGCGACAACAGCCGGTGGTTCACGTTGATTCGATTTACTGTCGTACCCTGTGTGCATTTACCCCACACCCTCTCACTCCCTCATCACTTGGTATAAACGTGTTACGCCAACTATCTCGACTCCGCGGCTCACGACGCATCGTTTCACTCATTCAACACCTCTCATCCCATCACCATTAACTCCCTCACAACTCAACACCACCTACAGCATTAATCACATTGAAGAATCAATGTCTCATCTGAATAGCCCTTGAAATCTAATATTCAATCGGAATTTAATGATTCCACAAAGATACAGGTGGGGTTGTAGACCCCTGAAAGCGAGAGTGAGTGAAGATTTCAATCGTTTTAGGTCTCGTTTCTACGGATCACTGGGTCAAGTTCAATTGCACAGAAGTGAGGAATGAAAAGGGGGTTGAGGTAGAGGAGGTGGAGGAAGTGGTGGAGGAGGAGAAACGATGGCTACAGTAGAGAAGGACAGGGTGAATTGGCATCACAAAGTGAACGCGCGATAGAGGCAGATTGGGTGGAACGTGCCGTAACGTTATTGAGGCGCACATAACAGTGTGGACTGCCGGTTTTAGTGGTATGAGGACGAATTTCCACGATGAAGCCCGTTCTTCCATTACTAACCAATCGATTTTCCCATATCGACCTAAACATCAGACTTCAAATTTCGGGGAATGGTTCAGGCGCACCAAAACCAGTAATCATTGAAATATTAATTGCTGTGAGAAAAATCCATTATCATCCTCTCGGTCTCCAGAAAGAGAAAATAAAATGGAGGAATGAGTAAGAAGGAGAAGAATACATCGAAATAAACCCGACAATATCCTATAATATAATCAATAGATTAAAAATTGAGAAACTTCAATTTACCGATTTTGCTGAATTGGATGAATCCGTAATCAGTAATTGAATCAACGGTACAAGTGGATGGTTTATGAAAGGAGAGACAGCCGATAACACTTCAAGTGTTAGTAAATGATTTTATCAGTAAATGTTGACGCGACCGATAATATTATGTCAATGGTTTACTTCCTAATAAGTGCATTATTCCGTCAAGTGATTTTTATTGCTTGCAATGCAAAAAAAAAGAAAAAAATAGTGGTGAATGGGCGCCCTTAAAGTCTTTATTGCGCTCGAGATAGAATTTCTTATCGATTTGTATCGAGACACAAGTGATTCTCGGCACGTGGAGACGAGTGAGAGACGCAGGATTTACTCAGCCATGTGCACCAGCTACATTGCACATAACGAGTGCGGCTGTTTCTTATCTGCCCCCTCATCGCCACACACGCGATAGCCCTCTTCACTTTTACGTTTCAATTAACCATCAGCATCCACTCTTTCACGTACGTTCCCATTATTTCTTTTGGTCCATCTGGCTCTCATCCTCCAAAAGGAATTAGTGGTAGGTTGAGTCAATGAGAAGAAAAAAGATGAATAAAACTCTAAGAGTGAGGTAGTTGATAGGTATGGTAGGTTTGAGAGAAAAAAGAAAGGTGAAAAGAGGGGAAAAAGAGGCACAGTGAATAAAAAGGGAGAGGACGAGGGAGAATGAAATGGGTTTCGCACGTGGTTACGAAAAAGAAGTGGGGGAGTGTTGAGCCAGTCTGTCCCTCACCTCTTTCCCCCCTCTCGGGTGTTCTGTTTTTCAGTGGGTCAAGTTTACGCGGCTGTTTAAATGCCAGTGGGAGAAAGATAAACATAGCCACTCACATTCATATACACATCAACGTTCAACCAGAACGGTGAATGCGGCGTCACTCTTGTGTTACTAATGAGCTATCGATGTCTTATTGAGATATCAATCGACTCCCAATTGATTTTTTTTTTATCCCCTCCACTATATCATAAACCGCTGAATCAGCAAATTGGAATTCCATTAATTGTCAAGTTCAATCGACTCTGTTGCATCAAGCCTTGCGTAATGATAAATTAATTTAGATGGATCAATCATCTTTGGATGTGTTGGCTATAGGGCTATATCTGTAGGACAATGAAAGAGTTGTACTGCAAATATTCTATAGCATTGGTTGTTGGCATCAATTGCCATTGGTGTGTTGGTGATGTCTTCCTCGATATTTTCACACTGAATATTTTTCCACAAGCCATGAATCGAAAGTAGTGGCGGAAAGGGGAGTGTGTCGAAACTTTTGCCGTTTGCTTGTGGAAAATCGACGTGAGTGAGAAAGATAGGAAAATGGTGGGAGAGTAGGAGGATATGCAGCAACAGCTGTTATCGCGTTACGGTTCGCACGAGCGGCCCGTAACTTCATATCATCGCCCTGGGTAGAGGAGCGCACAGCTCTTCCCACTCGGTGAGTGGGTCAAGTTCGAAATGCTTATCATAACACTCTCCCTCCGCTTTATCTCAAACCCTTTCCTTCTCCTCACCATAAACCGCTCGTTGCACTTGGTTAACCCTTTGTCTTCTTCGTACGAGGCCTCGAGAACCAACTTTCCCAAACAATTCAACCCTCATTCAACATTTTCGTTAGTCCCATTCTAACAGCACTTTCAATTTCATCATACTCTCCCTTTTCATTTCAATTTCACTTATGCAACCACCAATTGAGTCATTATTTTAATGGTCCCTGAACATACATCTCAATAAGTGTGAGAGTGGTGACGAAAAAAAAGAAGAAAAAAGGAAGAAAAAAAAATGGATAACAATGAGAGTCGGCGACTCGCCATTGAGACTCATCCGATGCCAAAGAGCCCGTACGCGGATATATATAAAAGGAATAAAAAAAAGGGACGCGTGCCACGGATGCGGATCGCAAGAAAAGACCACCTTTGTACAATCCCCGGAGGGTGTCAGCATCCTGGGGAATGCCAGCAGGCAGTATATGGATGTCGTTGAATCGACAGGAGTGAATAAACTTGAGAGTAAAAAAGTGGCTTTCCCAAATTGATAAAGCCATTCACGGAGGAATCTCGTTCTGCCCTCAAATACATAATACCACTCGCTATTGAATTAAAGAAACAACAATGGATTTGAGTTGTAGATAGAGTAGTGGATTCATTCATTGGTAAGACGTTCATTGACCGTACGGCACTCCATAAAGCTATATTGGAATGTTTAGCAGATAGGAAGTATAGGTTGTACAAGTGGCGTGTATTGAGAACAACAGAGCGTGCGGTTCGGGCATGTCTCGGTCTGGCTAACTCCGTGGATAATCTACGCGGCCTTGCCAAGTACACATCGACGGTATTCGAGAGTAGGGTGGGAGTTGAGGAGGAATGAGGACGTTAAACCTCCTTCCTTTTACCCGGTCACGATTTGCCATTACGACACGCGCGCACGCCGTTTTATCGGTCGACGATCCGAATCCGTGGGAGACCGGACGACAATGTAATCGTTCCGGTGATAAGCGGTGGGGGAGGACAGCTGGCTAACCTTGTCCGTGGTCATGGTTCTGTAATGACTGCAACTACACTACTACGATTACTACCACCGAACACCACCATACCCTCGTCAGTAGTCACTGCTTTGTTTTGCTAGACGGATAAAACATTTGAGTTTGTTGTCATACTGCTGTGTCGTGTGCCAAGTGTGTTGGGCCTTTTCGTATTCACTCGTACCTCTGCCCTCGTTAACATTCGAATTTCATTCAAGGAGATGCCCCTTTGAAGTGCACAAGAGCTTACGTTTGTTTCTTTCTCTTTCATTAAAGAGTTCTACTACAGCTGCTACAATTTCGCCTTCAAAACAAATTTGTGCCCGGTGGCATGGCGTAGGATAGGTTCCAGGTTCGGTTCCTGGTCCGACCAACGTTAGAATGGCGAGATCTAACCGATTAATCTTCTAAGCAATGGAAATAACCGTTAAATGAAGAGAACAAAGTTAGGAAAATTGTAATGATTTGTGGAAAAATAATGCATTCCTCCGTGTGGGAAATGAAAATCTGAAAAAATAACTGGATAAAAAAGGATAAAAGGAAAGTGATAGTAAGATGTTGAGAGATGGTATGGGTGAGAAGGTGGTCTAGAGTCTCGCGGGGAAGGGCAAATTTATCTGTTGGCGCCGAGTTGCCGAGCAAAGTCCGCTCCTCTCCCCGCTAGACTTCGCTTTCCAATGTTGCTTCCACTTCATTGGATGATCTTTCAGCGAGATAGGCACCGAAAAAAGCGCCGGAAAAATACAACTTGCGTAATTAAAATCCATTTTTTTAAAACGGTTGAGCTTTCATTCCCTCAATTGACATCCAAAATTTCATATAAACAGTTTTCTGGGTCCAATGAAGACGAGGTTCAATTGCTTGAGACAGTCGTTCTCTGGGGAAGAGGAGGAAAGGGGAACGGTGAACCGGTGCGAAAGAAACTGGAATAAAAAGAAAGAAGGAGAAATACACTTGCGACTGGTTTCTCCTTCATT